GTGCACCCCTGATGGACGGAGGACAAGCAGGGTCAGAGACCAGAGTGAAAGTGTAGTCAAGGCGGTGGCTCGCGGCAAAGTCAGCGACAAAAGCGACTAGGGTAGAGACACCCTCAGAAGGAGTAGTAGGGTCAGTGACAAGCAACGCAAGCAAGCGGGAGATGACTGGACGAGCAGTGCAAGCAAATTGAGAAAGAGGAGCAGGGGACAGCGGGAGCGACGATTGGGGAGGCAATGGTAGGACGGGCACTGGAAGAGCACAACAACGAAGGACCATAGGATGGACACGAGCATGAGCAGAGACAAAAATACCACCAGGGGGACGACGCACCTAGTGAGGTAGGACGGGGAATGGGGAACAGGGGGGGACGGGGACAGAACAGGGGACGGAGGAGAGCGAAGGGGGAATTGAACCGAAAGGGAGTCTTTTTGGGGGGGGGGGGGGGGGGGGGGCGGGGGGGGGAACAGCGGGCTGTAGACAGAGTCAGGTGGGAGGGGAGGCACTGTAGGAGGGACGGGCGAGTGGTCAGGGGATCCAAAGGAAATGCCAAGGAGACGAATGGCAGACTGCGGCTGCTGCTACTCCGACAGCTACTACTACTGCAGCAGCTGCTGTGGCTTCTGGCACACGCCAGAACCCCCAGGTCCACTACTGCTACCACCAGGACTCTCCCAGCCAGCACCCCCAGGACTGGCACCCCCAGACCCAGCACCCCCAAAACGTGCACCCCCAAAACCAGCACCCCCAAAGCCAGCACCCCCACAATCAGCATCCCAAGAGTTCACAGACTATCGTCGATGCTGCTGCTGCGGCAAGTGCTGCGGCTGCTACTGCTGCTTCGGTGGTAGCGAGGGAGGTTGCTGAGATGCCTGGGGCACCGGGGCTGGGGGGAGGAGCACCGCAGCTGGGACAGCCGCATCTCCAAAGTCAGCAGACTCCCCCACAGGCACAACCGAGGGGAAAGGAGTGGCGTGGGAGACACCAGACGGAGCCGGGCGAGGTGGGAGGTGATCAGCAAGTGGTGCGGGAGTGAGGAAGAGAGGTGGAGGAGGAACACGAGTGCCATGGTGAGGGAAGCGAACGATGCTGCCCCGGGTGGTAGAACAGCTAGTCATAAGCGTCGAACTGAAACTCGAGGAAGACAAAGGGGACAGTGCAGGCTAAGAGCTTGTCTGCGCTAAAGGCGCGGACGTGAGCAAGGCAGCCCCAGATGTGGAACACAAACGCGTCACTAGGAGACCCAGTCCAGAGGAGGGTCGGTGAAACCTGTAGCTGCAAGGAGTGAGGCCACATGTTAAAGTGGTGAGCCTCGTGGTGCCCCACAGAAAATGGGGGGCATTTACATGGACCATGGAGGTGAGAGCCACCTCCATAACCAAGCTGATGTGATCCTCAGCGAATCCATTCTACCATGGTGAGTCCGGAAGGATTAACGTACCAAGGTGACCGGAAGCAAATTTGCCACCATGGTCGCAGTGCAGATGGAGCACAGACAGGGAGCGCTAGGTGCGGACGATACAGAGTCACGGAATGAGGCCGTCAAGCACGTCACCTTTCCGCTCCAACAGGAAAACAGTGGTGAACCGGGTGGAGTCGTCGACCACAACCAGGAAGTAGCGCTCCCCGCGAGGCCCTTGGGCCGAGGCGAGGCCTCAGACGTCCATGTGCATAGTCTGTAGGGGAGCAGTAGTGGGAGAAAACGAGGAGGAAAGAGGGGCGGCGCGCTGCCGGCCCTCGACGCAAGAGGTGCACGCGGGCGCGAGAGAGGCGAAGAGGACGGGGAGACCAGTGACTAGATCGTGGGAAGCCATGTGACGCAGACGTGGGAGAGCAGGGTGACCTAAGCAGTGGTGCCCACGCGGGGAACTCTGTGTGCAGTATGAAAAGTCCGATTGCAGGTGGCAAATCGGGCAAAGGTGGCAAGTTGGGCACTCGTGGTGGTGTTCGTACAAGCTGTATATCTCTCATAGCCAGGCAACGTGGTGGTGACACCAAGGTCCTGGATATGGCCAACACCAACCAAGTTTAGGAAAACGTGGGGATATGCAAGGCGGTAAGGGTGCCAGACGAGAGAGCCAGACAAGGGAGAGCGGTGGTACTGGGAGAGACGACTGCGGCAAGCAAGTCAGCTAGGGAGACCGGTACCGGTGCAGGAAGTGATGTCAGTGCACTGCGGTCTCGGAAGAAGTAGTGAGACGCGCCGGAGTCCAGTGTGAAGGAGAGGGCCGTCATAGGAGGGGCATGGGAGGAGCCTAGTCAACACGTAGCAGAGGCTCCTAGACTACACACAGCAGTGGGGCCTAGACCCCCACGCCCCCGGGCCTCCAGAGAAACCATGCGGGCTCCAGGAAAACGACCGCCCCCGGGCCCAACCTGCAGAGCCTCCACCGTGCCCAACACCCCTAGGACCCCACCGCAGTGGCTGTCACTGCTGCTGCTGCTGCTGCGGCTACGTCTCAGGGCAGGCATCCCAGTAGCGTACCTCGAGGGCGTGGAGGTGTGCGACGAGCTCACCAGTAATGTGGGCCTCCCGGAGCTCGCAGTTCACGTGCTTGCTCACGAGATGCCGGTGGAGAGCGAGAAGCCAGAGAGCGAAGTCGACCGCCCGGCCTTCGACGTCCAGCCAAGGGACAGACTCGAACGAGGTTGTCATGCCAAAGGGAAGGCAGCAAGGAACTCCAGAAACGAGGAGGAGACTAGTGGGAGGCGCTAGGGGCTGCAGGAGCATGAATGGTGGTAGTGACAGTGGTGGCTGTGGCCGGAGCGGCGGTCTGGCAGCTAGGGATAGCTGAAAGGCAACTGGATGGCAATTGGCGGCTGGAAGGCATAAGGCGGCAGGCGGCCAGTGGGAGGCAAGAAGAAGGAGCTGGTGGCAGCAGTGAGCGACTGGCGGGAGCAGCGAGCGGCAAGCCTGCGACAGCGGCAAGCAGGCGGCAGACGGCAGCAACAGGCTGGCGGGAGGTCGGCGGCTAAATAGTAGCGGCTGCAGCGGTGACAGAGGCTGTAATGGCAGCGGCGGCCGAAGCGGCGGCGGCGGCGGCGGCAGGAGCAGCGGCGGCGGCTGTAGGAGCGGCGGCGATAGCGGCTGTAGCTGCTGGAGCTGCGGTGGCTGAAGTAGCAGGCAGCAGCAGACGACAGCAGGCAGCAGCGGCTAGTGGCCGGCGGCTGGTGGTTGGCTGGCAGCTGGCGGCGGGCCAGTGGCTGGCGGGCGGCTGGCAGGGAGCGGGGAGCTGGCTGGCGGCTGGCGGCTGGCTGCTGGCTGCTGGCTAGCGGCTAGCGGCTGGCTGCTGGCGGCTGGCTAGTGGCTGGCGGCTGGAGGCTGGCTGGCAGTTGGCGGCGGCTGGCGGCTAGCTGCCAGGCGGCTGACTGGCTGCGAGCTGGCGGCTGGCTGGTGGCTGGCTAGCGACTGGCTGGCAGCGGCCGGCTGGCTGGCAGCAGGTGTCTGGTTGGCTGCTAGCTGGCGGCTGCCTGGCGGCTGCCTGGCTGCTGGCCGGCGGCTGGCTGGCGGCTGGCTGGCTGCAGGCTGGCAGTGGGTGGCTGGCTGGCAGCTGGCTGGCAGTGGGCGGCTGGCTGGCAGCTGGCTGGCGGCTGGCTGGCAGCTGGCTAGTGGCTGGCTGGCTGCTGGCTGGCGGCTGGCTGGCGACTGGCAAGTGGCTAGCTGGCAGCTGGCAGTTGGCTGGTGACCGGTTGGCTGGCTGCTAGCTGGCGGTTGGCTGGCGGCGGGCAGCTAACTGGCTGGCTAGCGGACTGCGGGCGAGCGGCGGCAGCTGGCGAGCGGCAGGATACGAGCGGGCGGGCGCGAGAGGGCTACGAGGGGGGCTACGAGCGGACGGGCAGGTGCGACTGCACGGGCAGCTGCGCGAGCGGCGGCAGCTGCGAGCAGCGAGTGGCTGCGCTGGCGGCGGCGCTGGCAGCTGGCTGCGAGCGGACATCAGCGGGCCACGAGCGGCGGCAGCAGGCAGCAAGCTGGCGGCTAGCTAGTGGCGGGATGCTGCTAGCGAGCAGCTGGCGGCGAGTAGGCGGCATCGAGCTGGCGGCGAGCTGGCGGCGGCGAGCTGACGGCTAGCTGGTGGCAGCGAGCTGCTAGCGAGCTGCTGGCGGCGAGCTGGCGGCGGCTTGCCGGCGGCGGCTAGCTGGCGGCTTGTGGGCAACGCGAAGGCAGGGCAGAGGCCTAGGACTAGAGCGTAGGTGAGGACGCAGGCTAGAGCGACGGGCTAAAGCCTGACCTAGGCTAAGGAGGTAAGCTAGGGTGGGAGGGGAGTGGGTAGCGCCTAGGGCGGAAGTGTGACGACTAGGAGCGAGACCTAGCTCTATACCATGTTGAAAGGAAATGTTGGACTAGACGAGGGGAGTACAGTGAGTATATCTAGCTTGTTGTACTCAACACAATCTGCACCCTAACACATGAATATGAAGTCTAACAAATGGATGCCACTGGCATTGATATCACATGCGAAAAGCACCATGTACTGATGCAATTGACATATTGGACCAGAGGTATTGTGCATTCATGCTACTGACATGTGGCGCAAAACGAAGGATTGAATGTTCACATTGACATGAGATGCTGAAAGCATGATAGGTTGATGCAATGGGCAACTGAAAGAATGATGAATGAGGCAGGTGACGACAGAAAGCACGCGGAATTGATTCAACTGACACGAGCATGCTGAAAGCATCACAAATTACTGCAGTTGACCTGCAATGCAAATAGCATCAGATGGTGAACGTAGCATGAATTGATGCCATTGGCGTTGCATATGAAAGCCTGAGGCGAAATCTCTAAGCCAAAGATTTGCTCGCTACCCCTCAGTTTGGTCTCCCTTCATGGATCTGGTTTAGCTCAGGAAAATGCATTCACTAGCAAGAGCCATACAACCTTCCCAAATTACGAGAGAACAAACAGAGTAGCTGTCATACGACGAGCAAGCTCCTTTACGCTACTCCTAGCCGAAGGCACTCCTTCACCCAGGTCCTGCACTCCCTCGAGCTTAGCCTCTTACCAGCACTAATGATTACGCCTCCTCGCTGTCCCCCTGAATCCGGCCCCTCACCTCTCTCACTCTTCTGCATGTCGACCTATCCAGCCGCTCCTGTCCCCACTGAGCTGGACACTGTCTCCCATTCGCCACCTCCAGCTGTCTCGCCCGCTCAATCCCATGAGCTTTTCGACCCATCACTGTACTTCCCCACATTACTCCGCATAACAATCCACTTTACGTATTTTCCTTACACTTTCTACACCTCTTCCCTTCCGCGCTGTCCCATATATCTCATGACACTTTTCCGTTCATGCGATTTATGCGACAGCTGTCGCACACAGCTCTCTCTTCGGGTATCCTGCCACCCAACTAGCCGGGCTCTCCTGTTGGCTGCCTCCGCTTGTATGTTATGAGGCTCTTTGCCCCACTCTCCTGCCCCCTCGCGGCCCGACCCACGTCCTCGTGATCAGGCCGTGACCTCCCAGCGCGCGCCACATTAGACACGTGGTCCCGAACCAGATGGCCCTGCATATTCTGCAGCAACAGGACCCCTGACTCCCTTGTCTCACGTACGATCCACCGCTCCTTACTCAAACCTCTGTCTAGCGTGTCCTTCTTCCGCTCTCTCAGTACACCTCGTCGCCAATCTGTAGTGCCCAACGCCTGACCCCCATTGCCCTCCCCTTGCTTGCGCTGCCTGTACCTCCTTGCGTCTCGCAACTGTGCCACCTCCAAATTATCTAAGGCTGCCGGCATGGCGGTGCGGAGATAACTAGCCCTGGCTGCTGCGATCACGGCCAAGTCCGCGGGTCCTCAGTAGACACCGCTTCCTTCATGATACGAGGAGCATCCACGGGCAGCACGGGCTCCTTCCCATATAGCAGGAAGTACGGGGAGTAATCCTTCAGCGCTTGCTGCTTACTAAAGCGATATCCCGCCGCTAACCAAGGGAGATGAGTGTCCCACTTCCCGCCTATCCTCTTCTTCGCAGTACTTGCGCAACCCCTGCTTTAACGTCTGGATCATCCTCTCCGTCAAACCGTCTGCTTGCGGATGATACCGCGACGTCTGTCGATGCCTGATACCCACGTCGCTTAACATGGTGTCGAACTCACCCGCAAAACTCATTCCCCTGGTCGGTAAGCACTTCCCCACACGCTCCAAATCGCGTCAGCACCTGCTGGACAAAAGCCTCCGACACTCCCGCCGCGCTCTTGCGCGCGAGGGCCGCGACTTCAATCCACTTGCTAGTGTGCTCTATCATCACTAGGATATACTGTCGCCCTCTCCTGGATAGTGGTAGTTCTCCTGCCATGACCAGGGACCAGCGGTACCCGATCTGTCCAATGGGCAGAGACTGCAATTCTGCCTTCGACTGCTCCAGCCGTGCCTTGCCTCGGCTGCATGCCTCGCATACCCCTACCACCCCCTTCACTTCCTTTCGCATCCCATCCCACCAGTACATCGTCTGTAGCAGCTGAGTCGTTCCGCTCGGCTCCATAGTGCCCCAGCCTTAGTGTGCACCTTCAGGATCAGCCCCTCTCGCTCCTCCGGCCTGGGGACTATTCTCCATCCATCCCCCGTCACTAACTGCAGTTGTTCATCCTGCCAACGGTAATGAATCCCCCGGGCCCTCACCCTCTCTGGCACCTCTCCTCCCTCTGGTCCCTTGCCTTGAACCCACTGCAGCACCGCAGCATCGTCCCAAATCTCCCGACAGCCTTTCGCCGCCTCGACCTCCGAGTCCACCCCTCCTTCTCGGCGGACCACCGCCATGAAGGAAAGCACAGTCTCCGCTCCACCTCTGGTTCCCCAGCTATTGCCGGCCCCTGCCTGGAGAGCCCATCCACATGCTGCAGGGTTTTCCCGGGCCGGTGCTTCACGTCAAACTCGAATTCCTGCAGCCGCATGGCCCACCTGGCATTCCGCCCTTTCAGAGTCTGATTAGTCATCAGCCACAGGAGGGGTTGATGATCAGTGACTAGGGTAAATTCCCTGCCTTGCAGGTAAGGCCGGAAGAGTTCCACCGCCCAGACTGCGGCTAATCCTTCCCCCTCATAGGAACTGTAGTTGCTTTCGGCTGGGCTGCATGACCGACTGGCATATGCTACTACCCTCTCCGTCCCCCCATCCAGCTGGCACAGTACTGCCCCCATGCCACTGCTGCTCCAGTCAGTGTACAACGTGTAGGGCTCATCCGGGCTGGGCAGTTTCAGGACAGGCGCGGTCTTCACTGCTTCCTTCAAGGTCTTCCACGCCAGATCCTGTTCTGCCTCCCACTTCCAAGTCATGTCCTCTCTCAGGAGCAGATTCAAGGGCCTTGCCGTCTTGCTGAAGTTCGGCACGAACTTGCGGTAGTAGCTCAGAAAGCCCAGCTGAGCGCGGAGGGTGCTCCGATCCGTTGGCGCTTTGAGTCTATCGACCACCTCCACTTTGGCCTGCTGCACCGAGAGGCCTCCTTTCCCCACCTGAAACCCCAGGTACGCCACTGTCCTCACCCCGAAATGGCACTTTCCTGGATGGCACTTCAGTCCGGCCGCTTGTATTGCTGCTAGGGCGGCGGCTACATCTGCCACGTGCTGCGACCCATCTTCGCTGAAGATTACCACGTCGTCTATGTAACAGAGTGCTCGAGGTACCTCCCTCAGCACTTGATCCATCACTCGCTCAAACCTCGCTGAAGCGTTCTTCAACCCGAATGGCATATAATTCCATTCGTACAGCCTATCTGGCCCATGAAACGCCGTCTTAGCCTTATCCTCCTCCTTGATTGGTATCTGGTTGAATCCTTGACGAAGGTCCAAGGTTGAGTAGACCTGTCCTGCAGCCAGCTTATCGAAGATCTCCTCGGCCATGGGCATTGGGTATCGGTCGCTCTTGGTGAT